TAAGTATGTAACCAGTATGTTAAATAAGTATGGACCATTGTTAAATAAGTTAAGTTTGTAAACAAGAACACGCGCACGCAAGTACATAGTGACGCGCGCGCGAAATGACGTGACTGACAGTTAAATCGTCAGCATTTTTGGAAATTTTACACTTTACCGTACCGGAGTAATCACTGAATACATACGCCATCAAAACACTCCAATAAAAGAACGGAAAAACCGTCAGAACACACGCCATCAAATACTTGCGGTACCTAACGGTAAAGTGTAAAGTACCCGCATTTTTGAATATAACGTTAACAACAATTGTCGACTGAAGACGGACATTTAAAATGTCCGAAACGTTGCAAATTTAATTAAATTAACCATTTGTATATATCCTTGAGAAATAAAAATAAGTACTGTAATAAGTTAAAAAATGTTTTGTCCGCAAAACTGCATACTGTAATTATCAAATTCCATATGCAGAGGGTGAAATTTAAACGGCGCATACATGCATTTTAAAGCCGTTTTCTACTTCAAACGCACGGTAGCGTTTTCTTTTGTGTTGAAGTCATTTATAGTTCCACTCTAGTGTTCAGGAAAGAATGACATTTATTGACATATGCTACGCACAATATGTTTGAAGTGGAAAGCGGCCTATCACCTGCGCCACAGGCTAATGTACTTACCACAGACTGCGCCATCTAAGGCAACAGTATACTGTACAATGTCATGTAGGTTTACTTACTAGCTTACATACTAACACATCGTAATTTTGTTTCGCTCATACCTCAGCAGTCGAATCTCTTTGATCGACGAGAAGGATCATCTGATCGTACATACGTTCACAATACGATAGAAGCTCGCTGAAAATAAAAACTTAAAGTTGGGCTTTTGTCGCACAGTTCCTGAAATTTTATTATTTATTTATACATAATGTATCCATAGATGTATCTCGCTAAAAGTATAATGATCCTTACTCGTGGGACAAGGTAGCCACTTCATGAAATGAAAAAACTTTATCCAATTTCTCTGTTATCTAGATAATTATAAAATTAAGGCAAAGACAAGAAAATAAATGAATGTACCTAGTTACTGTGGTGTAATGTTGAATGTTATCATAATGTTAAAATATTGCCATTAAAAAGTATTAACTTGAATTGCTAAACATTTCCAATTGAAGAATTATAGCATTGATAATTACCTCTCGAATATGAACTACTAGTTCTTCCTGGATGCTTTCATCCATGGTAGTGATCTTCTCAACAAAAAACTCTTTTCTTTCACACTAAAAGAAATGCTGTATAATTCACGGCACCACTGACAGTACAGTACATTCTTTTACCTAACTACAGTACTCTTTGTGCAAACCATTTGCATATTAATTTACTTCTTGTATTCCTATTATATAGCCAAATTACAGTAGCAAAAATAGTGCCTGGATATGAAGCAACATGCAATAATAATATAATAAAAGCATTTATTACCTGTACAGCACAGCCAAGGATAAGAAGCAAAATTTTATTCAACTCATCAATACTTTCATCTACAACATACAAGTCATGTACATAATAACTGTTTTGAAATATTCTATAAGTAAAACTAGTTTCTAACTTACAGTACTGTAAATAATGTATTTTTCTGTACATCCTCTATGGAGGCAGAGGTGTTAAGGAAGCTAATTGATAAACTTAGGGGTGTCCACTTTGTAAAGCTTGGGAAGTTAACCCCCCTACCCCCTTTGAATGTCCTAAACATTTACTATTATCAGAAACAATTTTTTCTCCCCTCCCCCTCCGGATGGCAGAAATTTCCTCCGTGGGGGGAGTATCGATCTTTTCTGGAACAACCCTACTCCCCTGGAGAGGTTTGCAATTCTGTTACGAATTTTAATATTAATCTTTTTTCAATAATTTTTGTTTTAAAAAGGTGATAATTTGATCCCTATTTTCAATGCACTTTAATGCTTTTAAGCTTTGATTTTCTTCAGTAGTAGTAGCACTCTTCCTTTGGCATGTGAAACCATCTGGCATTCGACAGAGTAAAATAATAAAATACGGCTCATCAGGGCACATTGCCACTTAAAGGATTAGCAGGATGCATCGGCAGATGTATCTGATTAACCCATTGAGTAGCAGCACTCTCTCCTTGACAAATAAGTTGCCTGGCATTAGAGAGAGTAATGTAATTATAGTAGAGTGCATCATGGTGCATTGCCACTTACTGTACAGGGTGATAAGCAGATCGTTCTTAAAAATTGACAGGTCCAAATTGGGAGATCAAAACAAATGGTTGGAAATCGTCAGAATTTGAACTTATGATAATTCCACCATTTTCCTCCTCTCATCCCTTTGGAATCCATCATTATCCCTTGTAGTGCAAAACATATTGTGGACCCTGCAGGCTATTGTTTATTTTGAATTTGACCATACTCACCACTTTCAGGATCATTAGCCATCACAAAAACATCAGGAGTGTCCATTACAATCACTTGCTGAAGTTTCTCCTGGGAAAGTATTTTTAATATTACACAGTAATTAATTAACCCATTAAAATTGTTTAACAATGCAACTTGATGCTACGCAGGCCAATTTTAAATGACAATTGTAATGCAATGCAATGCACTGCACAGCAAAAAAGTTCAAATTTTGTGCATTTGCATTGCAAATTATCATTGAGAATTGCTCTCTGTAGCATCGTCTTTATATGTGAGTAGATTCTGCAGTTTGCCAATAGCTCTAACACTTGCAATTTCAATAAATCATCAAGGCAATGCTGTCAACGTTTAGGAGTTTGACAGCAGTTCAAAGGCATTTTTGTTCCCATAATGACCATTTGAAGATGCATGTTAAAACAAGTTGATTATTTGAAACCTGAAATATACTGTACTGATGTATATTACAAAGGCCTGTCCACACAATATGATTAGTCGTGTATGATTCTTATTCAGGCATATGTAATTGAACAAGAGGAATTGTATTGTCAGCAGCGATTTTAATGTGCCAGGATGACAATCATATACAACTAATCATATCATGTAGACAGGCCTTATTAACATACATATTCACTTGTTAATAATTGTAAGTTACATGACATTGTTCACTTTGATAGATTCTTTTACAGCAAAAAGTATTAAGAAGTGGTAAAATACTGTTGTAAATAATTTCATTGTCAGCGGCAATTGCCATTTACTGCCAAAACTGTGGCATTTGGGACTATTTAGTTAATGTATTTCATGATCCCACAAGCCGGCCTACTGGTTAGCAGGTACAGTATTTTACATCAAGAGAAAATCTTCATCCTGGCAACAGGATCTCACCTATGTGTCATATCTCAGTAACCAAGGAAGCCTAGCTGTCTTTGACTTTCAATATAAAAATAAAAGGCCATGGTCTTCCTATAAACCAGAGTGGTTCAGCCTAATAAAACAGGCCTTCGGTGAAGATATTAGCCAAACATACTGTATATTCCATGCTGAAGTGTTCAACATAATACAGGTTTCAAAATTATTATCAAAAACATGTGAAATTCACAGAAAATTCATCACTCATTTTATCCATTTGTCCCATTAGCCTAAATTGAATATTTTTGCGAGACGCCTTTTAATAGCCCATTAAGAACATTCCTTCCAGCGCTTATAATCCAAGCTGGCATTTACTATAATCCTTTCCAAACCACTCGTGTCAGTCGTGTGCCCTTCAATATAAGGCTGTTAGCCTTCGCAATGCAAATAATATAGACACATGAAACTTTAAAGAGAAAATAACACAAGAGGGTAACTATTTTGCTACTTTTTCAAGGTGGATAAAATAGTTATAAAGAAATGTACATACTGCATACCTTGTAGTAATTTTTCATGCTTCGTAACAAGTGCTCTAAATTGTGAACTCGTAGGTTTATATCGCCAAATACATTTGAGTGAACGAACGTCATGCCAAAAAACGTCGGATCTCTATAATTTAAACAAATAATCAAAAATGATAAACCAAAGAGGCTTGATTGCCAATTTATTTACTTTATTTGAAATCCACTAACGCAAAACAAAGAGACCACAGCTTCGGTTTATTTCGTCAAAACAAAGACACAGTTGGCATGCTGTTCTAGTTTTTATACCATTTCAAATTATACTGTAGACAATATAAACTCTATCCCAAATGAGAATTAAGTCTTTTAGCTGTTTAAACAAGCTACGAAATGACACGGATCTTTAAAACGCAAAGCTACTTTTAACCACTTACATTTCTGTCATTATTTGATTCAAAGCGTAGCCATCGACCAAGTCTGTTAGGTCAGCAAGCGCTGTAGCGTTAAATGTTCGTACCTAAATTTAAACGTAAATAAAACATCACTCATGCTATCCTATTACTTCGATAAAAAGCCTCGCTTCCGGAAAGAAAGCGATATGAAAAAGTATAAATATAAAACAATAAATTCGCAAACAGGACGCGGCCATAGACTGAAGAGATTTGACTTAATACTCACCCACAAAACAAGTGGAGCCTTAAGCACTTGAGTGCTACGATCTACCTCCATATTAGAATATTTCTTGTTGATATTTAATTCATCAAATCAAGCGGAATAAAGGCACGCGAAGGCAAACTATTAGCCATCAACATAACTTGTAAATATTGTTTGCGTTGTGTATTTTTGTATTTGCTTTTTGGTCACGCGGGACCCACGCAAAGTGATACAATCACACGCGGGAGATTCAAAAATTGCAGCCTACGATCAGGAATAAAAGGGCGGCCACTTACAGGGAGGTTCAGATATTAGCTTTCGTTAGCTCAATCTCGTACCCAGAGCCATCGTTGAAGGGTACGAGATTGTCGTTAGCTCAGCAATCTCGTTCCCAGAGTATGCCTGTTCGCGGGTTAGGGTGCCACAACCTAACCCGCGAACAGGCATACTCTGGGAACGAGATTGTTAGCTCAGTGGCGTAATTTGATTGGTAAAGCGGATAGATTTTAATGCCTCTGATTGGTTAATGGTAACGGTATCGAAGGTCAAAATCTGAAACTCTCTGATAACATTCCATACAACCAACAACTTTCGTCTTTACATTTTATTACAAGTTATAAAAAATTTAATCACAGTGTGTCAACTTACAAACTAGATAATACAGTACTGTATAGTGCAGATATTTACAAATAAATACGTTAATATACAATATTAAATTAGGTCACGCGTATAAATATAGAATTATTAGAATATCAAATCTATTCAAGAGGCTTTTATTCTCCGGAAATGGCCGGGACACGCAAACGTTTTGTTGTTAGTTTGAATTACTGATTTAGTTTTAGAATTTAGACATACAGAAACCTTATATTTTGCTAATTCGCCTTTTGAGGAGGCGAAACATTTGGTCTACTTTTCAAACTCATTGCCATTATTGGAGGGAAATAATAAATGCATAATAAAAGGAGGTGAAGAAATATAGGCAGCGAAATTAATCGGAAACATTCAAAGAATCTCTGCTGGCGTACCATTCATGTTTACACAGGAATAATCATGACGATTAAGCAGATGTTTTCAGCACTTTTCCTTCATAGCATAGCTTGAATATTATTATGTCGCAGTATTTCAAAACAGAAGCCTCAGAGGTGAATACATCTTCGAATGTAATACATCAAATACGAGATGAAGTTTACTATGACGATTTCATAAAACAGCTCAAAGGCAAAGCTTATTTATAAACTGGGCAAGACCAAGAACCTTGCAAGATCATATCATGTATAATATCATGATAATAAACTCCCTCTCGTATACAATTACTGTCTAGATATGATAAAGAGACATTTAGTTTCCATCAATCAGTGCAACTAGCAATGTTTCGTATTCACCACGACATTTTTTCTTCACCATGTCCGCTAGCGACATAGAAGCGAGTGCTTGGTAAGATTGCTTCACTTCCAGCAGGTCGATCTATTTGAAAACAACAAACACACGTTTCAAAATAAAAAAAGCTCTGTACTATTGTAGGTAGTGGCAATAACAAGAATGCTGCGGATTGATGGGATCACAACTACCTACAAATTACAAGGAGAACTTCGACGTTCCTTAGGGGCCGATTACATTGGGAGCACTTTTAACCCCAGGTTTGAACTCGGCACTGGGTTGAACTTGAATTTTTTTGCAATTACATGGACGATTTCAACCCCGGGATTGAAATGCTATGCGTTCCCGGCATTGATTCCCGGAAGTGGAAGGAAGCGGGTCCATTTTGTTTGCTTGTAATAAATAGTCACTACCACGCATGCCCGAATAACTCATGCATGAATAATTTCAGCCATGGGTTGAAGCGATTATATGACAAAATTTTCAACCCAGGGCCGAGTTCAACCCGTGGTTGAAATTTCAACCCTGCTAGGGGTTGAACCATAGAAATAATAGACATGGAATGCTATGCATATCTATTATTTCTACGGGTTGAACTCGGCCCTGGGTTGAAAATTTTGTCATATAATCGTGCGTTTGATTGTGATTAAGTTTGGTATTACAGACAGGGCTGGAATTTCAACCCGTCAACAGAGCTGAGTTCAACGCCAGGGTTGAAAATGCTCCATGTAATCGGCGCCTTAGTCGGGAGGTTTTCTCATTACTTCCAAGCCATACTTCCTCATAGGTATAGGTAGGCAAACCAGGAAACATTTGTCAGATGTATCTGCCTGTAGAGTGAATTACTGGCTGCGCTTGTGGCATATCCAGACACGCAGGTATAGGGGATTAAAAGCTAAGAATACAAAGTTTTCGAGGCAATAATCACATTTGCAAAACAACATGTTTCTTAATTTAGAAAGAGTTTGGCTTCCCAAAGAGAAAATTTTCAATGTGTGTTTTCGAAGGTAAACAAGAAGGAATAAGGGAAACATCAAGAGTTCAGATGTTTTCTCACAACTCGTGAAAAAATTTATCCTTACCTCAGATCTGCCAACAAGACATCGTATTAAAGTGTCATCATCAACATTCATTCTGTCCAATGCATTGTGAAGACGTTTGGCGAAATACGTAGGAGGATGACGTATACATTCCACTGAAATGAAAATGCAGAAAAAAGTGAAAATCTACCTCGGGCCTGCACGCGGGCTGGTGAAAATCCGGAAACTCATAACTCAGCGCATGACTTGGACAGTGGCTAGCGTATATTCATGTGTATTTCACCTCTGAAACGTTCAACACTGCGTAGAATTCCTAAAGGCTACAGTTTACACTATCAAAGTTTCTGTGATCACGGTGGGAATCGCCTATATATATTTTCCAAATATTGATTTAACATATTTGTTTTCCACCAAGCGGGAAGCGGATTTCTTTCTTTGTCTTTTCGAATTATTTCCTCGCGGTAGAACACAAGACCAAGAAAAATTCCGCTCCGCGCGCAAAATTCCTCCTGGCTCGCGTCATCTGTGACGCAGTTTACATCAAATTATGACGACACTAATTACATCAAAAATAATTTAGCTATCAAGCGATGGAGGCGTGCGGATTTTTACTCCGCATCTTCTTGGCAATTTTCCTTGGTATATCTGTGTTTCTGACACCCTCGTGTGTGAACATACGCATAGCCTAGTGCGGGCAATGCGTTTGTTCACACTCAAGGTTGTCAAATGCGTTTGCAAGGATGCATCTTATGGCAAGAAGTGCCGAGATAAGGTGAGAAATTTTGTTGTCTTTTTATGCTGTTACCTTGGAAAGAAGAGTTCAATAGTTACTTTTGTCAACACAGCTGGCCTCTGTAGCTCAGTTGGTTAGAGCGCTGCATCGGAATCGCAGGACCGTGGGGTCAATTCCTACCAGAGCACCTTGTGCTGCATTTTTCGCAGTCGTTCCTGGTTGGGTCTTAAAATGTATATATCCTCAGTTGGATTACAAACCCTGACATCCTAATATTAATTCCACCAAGTGAAGCGCAGGAATCTAAGTCATTCAAGTCCACAAAAAACACCCCCACCGGTAAGGCGGAGGTAGCCAGGGTTTAGATTGGAAACAACAATGGTATAAACATTTTGGAAAATAAATTCGTGACCAACCTGCAGCAAGTAGACAATCTTTGTACGTCCCTGATGTTTCTTTGTTTATCATTTCTATTATGTCACTTTTTGTAATCTGTTGAAAATGTGAAAATAAATGCTGAGTGATCTAATAGAAACGTGCGCGGAACGCGTTCTGATTGTTTTTCATTGTTCGCAACGCGCGTTCAAACCTCGTTCAAGATTCGTAACTGCAGAACGGAATGTAAATTATTTCTAAGCAGTATTTGTATCATTTGAATAGTGTTCGTTATTCGCAATAGACTGCAACAGGATTTCAAAAACACTCATAAATCTTTCGATTAGGTACAACAAAACAACCGCGAACAGCTAAGTGCAGTAGTTGTTATTAAATCTGAACAAAACAGTACCAATGGACCTTTCCCCTTATAACTAAAATTTTGATCAAGACAAAAATTTCATCACAGCTTGAAAGAACATGACAAAATTAGTAATATTCCAAAGTTTGGTTGCGAAATGTTGTAAAATGCGGATAATATAGCCTTGCAAAATTTGACGTTTTTCATTCATTTTGTATTACGCATGGGAAATTGACAGCCCAATCGGGTGTTGGGGCAACAATTTTCCGTTTGTAATACAAAACGACTGAAAACTGCAAATTTCGCAGGGCTATATTATGCGCATTTTACAACATTTCGCAATGAAACTTCGGAACATTACTAATTTTGTAATGCCCTTTCAAGCCGTAATGAAAGTTTATAGTCTAGACTTGTCTAGATCAAAATTTTAGTTATAAGGGGAAAAGTCCATAGACGTTCAAATCCCCAGTGTTTTAAGCAGAATACATACACTTACCTTCTGGAACTCCGTGATAACTTCAGCCATGAAATCTCGGCTTTTTGTCCCCAAAAGATTTTGTATAACTGAATTTTCCCCTTGCCATCTATTGCCTTGAGCCTGTGCGAAACAAATATAAAAGAATGGGAAGAATATGTGAGCAGGTGTGTAAGCAACGACCGTGGGTAGTAAATCTCCACAAAGTGTGCAACACAAACGAATTTTTATTCAATATATTCAATGTTTATTTATTTATTTAACTTCGCCATTATCATGCATTCATGGCAGGGTCACCACAACAGTATGGTACCAATTACTGTGGGCCCTAATGTATTCTTATAATGAAAATAAGAGCCCAGCATAATACTTCAAATAGAACCATATACACACATAATATACAGCTGATTCAATTAAGGTTGTCCTTCCAAAACCTTAAATCTTAAACTCTGATGAATTTTCACCTATTACAGTAAGCCCTTCAACTCACAAAATTTCCTTTGCAGAAAGTATGTTTTCTGTTGCGACTCTTCTATAGGTGTCTTAGGTATCCTTGCAAAGACAAATATGCAATAACCCATAATTCCTTGCGCGCTCAGAGTTTAAAGTTAAAGTTTTTGGAAGGACAACCTTAATTGAATTAGCTGTATATATATATAAACGATTTATTGACAAACTTCGTCTTACCTCAAGACATCTTCAGCCTAACAATAAAATTACAATGTTAATTTATTCACAAGCCTTGTCATTGTAATTTTACTGTTAGTCTGAAGATGTCTTGAGTTAAGATGAAACGTCACTCACATTAATACTTCTATATATTTTGTGTGTATGAAATTATGCGCAGGCTAAATTATGCTGGGTTCTTATTTTCATCATAACAAACAAACTTCGTCAGTACTTGAATACTACTCTGTCATCAAGTAATAAGGTTGGAATTCTTGAGGCAAGTATATGTTTCGATGTAAAATTTGTTGTTCGCACTGAATTTAGTAAGTATCACAATTTTGCCCAAACCTTGCTGATATCCAAGGCAGCTGCTTCCACTTCGTTCATATCAACTTCCTTCGCATTCAAACGGCCGCTCTAAAACACAATGAAAATGCTCTTTAATTGAACCTTGGCTAATGTGCAAAGTCTGACATTTTGAAAAAAACATGTCATGCTACTCAATTTTAAAATATCATTTCGAAAACATTTAAGTTCAGCTGTTTGGCTAGAATGATGTATTTCTATGCAATATGGACGGTACAACAACACACACATACTACTCACCAGCAACAATCCAAGAAGCAAACGTTGCACATCATCCTTAGTTTCGCCGTCAATGGCGGCACTTAAATCTTTGCCTTTCTCTGGAAAACAAGTGAATGGGATTAGACGCGGTTTTGTAAATACTCTAAATAACTAAACCCACCACATTTAGACTGGATAGACTGACTGGATACAGTGGCGTAACGCTAATTGGGTAGGGTTAGTTCAAAACCCAAGGGCCCCCGACAGTTAGGGCCCCCGACAGTTAGGGCCCCCTATCAGCCACGGCCTATATCGCCCAGAAAATTAGAAAACGTAAAAAGTGCAGGTTAAGAATCAATGGGAAAATGCAAAATTAGTAATGCTAAATAATAAAGCCTCCATGGTCAACGGTAGCTGATTTTGTTATTCCATCTCAAATGAAAAAAGTTATTCTTATCAGTTGTTACATGTGTTAGAGACTGCTACTGCTACTGCTACTGCTACGTACTGTTACTGCTATTGCTATTGTTATTGCTACTGCTACTGTTACTGTTACTGTTACTGCTACTGCTACTGTTACTGCTATTGCTATTGCTATTGCTACCGTTACTGCTATTGCTATTGCTATTGCTATTGTTATTGCTACTGCTACTGTTACTGTTACTGTTACTGTTACTGTTACTGTTACTGCTACTGTTACTGTTATACTGTTACTGCTATTGTTATTGCTATTGCTATTGCTACTGCTATTGCTACTGTTACTGTTACTGTTACTGTTATTGTTATTGTTGTTATAGACACGAAATTTTCCAGAACATTCTATAAATATTCAATATAAATATAATATGTCAGTCAATCAATGACAACAGTCAACAGGGGCCCCCACACCAAATATTCCTGAGGGCCCCCTCTTCCTCCGTTACGCCACTGACTGGATAGTAGGTTACACAAGGTCACGTAGGTTATCGTAAACTGATCTCAAAAACTAGAACTGGATAGAGCATCTGCTATGCATAAATATTGTGACAACCACAAGTCTACAGTATACTTCTATAATATTTTGAATATAAAAACCTGCACGCCAAATTTCACAGCAGTATACGATTAAGATATAAACAATGATCAGATTATAGAATGAAAAAATAACGAAAGAAACATAGTGTCCATTTACCTCGTTTGTAGCAATTCACAACCGCTTCCAAACTCTAAAACACAAACAGTATAAATATAAAAGTGATTGGCTAAATAAATTCAAATCAAACATTGGTCGAGTTATGGCCATACCTCGCTCGACTGCGCGCAGATTATTTCACATAAAGCTTCTTCATTAGTTCCAAAACCCTGAAACACAAATTTAGATATACTACACTATTTTTCATAATAGCAATTTGATGCAACATAACATATTAACTAAACTGCTTAAATTAATGAAAAGAATGTGGTTTATTTCAAAAGAATTCAAGATTATATCAGACAATCGAACATTGAAGGAAACAAATTTCAAGGCAAATGCAATAACTGTTCCAACAACACATCACCTCTAACCCAAGTGAACACTCAAAATAAGAAGATAGCTTTTAGAATTTCTTGCCTGAACACCCTTCCCAAGTCCGCAGAACTTTCATAAGAACCCATGGTAAACCACCCTCTCCCCTCCCACCATCTTCTTCTACCGCTCCCCATGACGCTCACCTTCATAGCCTTGTCCAATTCCCGGGCATAAAATACGTCACTTGGTAATAACATAGCAACAACAAGATTTTCCATGTCGCCACCCAACTCCGATTTCAATTCGTCAATCAAGTCCTGGAAATATAATGGAAAAATTGAGTCACCCAATCAATACTTCTTTTATAATATAAAACAAAACCAACCTTCTTGAATTCCTGTTGATAAGTATTGTAAATTGTTCGCCGTTGTTCGTTCGATTTCGATGACAAAACTTGGACAATGGTCTTTTCGTCAGTTCCTAGGTAAGCAGAAGTACGAAAGTAGACTTGAGCTATAAATCGTCGCTAATGTCATTAAGGTTTTAAAGAAAAATAGAAAACGTAAAAAATGCAGGTTATGAATCAATGGGAAAATGCAAAACTAATAATGCTAAATAATAAATCCTCCATCAACAACGGTAGTTGATTGTGTTATTCCATCGCGAATAAAACAAAAATTATTCTTATTAGTTGTTACATGTGTTGGAGACTGTTATAATTGTTATTGTTGTTATAGACACGGAATTTTCCAGGACATTCTATAAATATCCAATATAAATATTTCTCAGTCAAACAATGACAGCGGTCATCAGGGGCCCCCACACCAAATATGCATAAGGGCCCCCTCTTCCTCCGTTACGCCACTGGCATGTGGTTAAAAATCCCTTCACCAATACAACCTACAATACTTTCCTTGCTATCATCTTTAAATAGTAACCTGGTTTAAGCATTATCAATCCTGTTGTTATTATTATTATTATTATTATTATAACAATCCAAAAATAAATACTCTTACCAAACCCTTTCATTGCTTTCTTCAATTTCTCTGCGGAATCTTTGGGATCAAATGCCAGAGCTGGCTTTATTGTGCCGTGATAGAGAGGCTATAATACAAAGCAACATGTGTGGGCGGTAAGAGTATATATTAGAAGGCATTCGTAGATTAGCATACATATTCCAAAAATATTCCAGCACGATGTCAATTTTACCTTTTCAATAGTCTTCATCTTAGGTGATTTGGATTCTTCCGCTTGTCCAGGACTGCTTTCAACCTTATTGAAGAGAAACAAGAAAACATGAGATAGGACATAATCAATGAGTTTAGGGTAAGCTCAGCAAGCTCATTACCCCGGGCACGAGGTTGAGTACTACTATATCCTCAGTATCAGGCCCTGCCTTCCCTTCCTTAAAAGCGCGCATATGGAAGGGAAAAAGGGATAATTATGTTCAAAACCATTACCTGTGGTGCTTCTTTAGCAAGTTTCTCCCATGGTTCTAAACAATCAGAAAGACAAAAATATCGTTTTCTTTATCAATTTCGCACATTAAACGAATTAACTCCAATAGGTCCAAGACGAAAAGGGTACTCTGCAGTATCTCATCAACCCTGTTTATTTTCCCATTTACAAAGGCCTTACATGTAAAAGCAAGTAAAATGTTATGGCGTTGGGCAAAGTAGGGGGAGGTAAAGGGTATTTTCCTGATCCGTGAATCGCCAATATTTGTTCTCGCCGACGAGTGGTGAAAAGTTTGAACGTGAAGAAGAGCGATGCTTTGGATGCAACAATGCATTTTCGTGAAAATGGTCAATTTTTTACATGCGAAAACTGATGGAATTCCTGTTTTCCTTCATGCGAAACGTAATTCGACCCCACCCTCGACCGGCAAAGTAAGTTATACGTACCGTCCAAAAGACCAAGTAAAATTCTCTGCAGAACACCGTTATAGTTCTCAAGAATATCGTCAGCTAATTTCTTCTTGTACACACTTAGATAGACATCCTTAATTTCCACTGTATCGATCTACAGAATGCAAATTACGTGTCTTTATTAATTGAAATAGAAAAGCAAACACTGATTATTATGGAAGAGAAGACACCACTGGATAGCACGTGTTACCAATTATTATTAATTCCTCAGCATGCACTTGCAACGGAAAGGTATTTCAGTTAGAGCATTGCGATGGACTGACTTCAAACCCCTCCACCAACCAAACCAATCATCTGCTGCCTATGATTAATCACCCCGTGCACCTACCTCGCATCGTTCAACCACCAGATGAATAAAATCGTTTGGAGACTCTTTCACAGTCTTTCTTGCCAGACCTGCATAGTACGTTGGAGGGTCTCTTGCTGACGAAACTAAAGTAGTAAAGTGGATGTCAAAAACTAATTAATAATTAAAACTCAAAAATCCAAAACTCATTAATAGTTCATGAGGAAAACATAAAGAAAAATCATAAGCGTGTCGTATCTTTTAGTGATAGAGATTTGCCTTGATTTACATATGCTTTAACTTTGATTTTTTCGACTTACACAACGTACTTTCTGAAAATTACTTCGCCTTTGAACTTACTAGATCGATCGTTTTTGAAGCAATTGCTGCTGCTCAGTGAAACATTGCTGCTCATGCATGTTTTATAAATAGTACATAAAATAGCTATATAAAGCAATAAGAAAGCAAGATAACCCTCTAAATGAACGAACGGACATGCCTCCTTTATAAACAGTAAAGGTCATGATGTCTCTTTTAAATTTTGGCCGTAACATTTTAGTGCGCCTAAAACGGTGTACGGGCGCCTTGAAGTTACTATAGAATACGGGCTCAACCGATAAAATATTGTAATAAAAGCTAATTTACCAGGTGTATCATTATAATCATAACACGTACCTAATGCAAGGAATGCAGCCAAGAGCTGACCATCAAGTTCGCTGTTCAAAGCGTTTACAATATCACTTCCAGATATCTATATGGATAAGATACAACATATAGTGTAAGCAGGGATGGGTTTTCTGAGGGTGAAGAGGTCCGCAGCCTCCTAGTCTTGGCAAGCAGGTGGGCCGGG